ATAGCAACCTAATCTCATTTTAAATTCTTTGTGCTGCTAAAATGAAAGCAAAAATTCAAAGCTGGAGGAACAAAAAAAAAAAAAAAAAAAAAAAAAACTCCCTTCTGAGAATTCTGAGTCACTCCAGAAAGGTCAATGGAGGTTGGGTTAACCCATTGTTCCCAGAGGGCTGATCAGCTTGTGGGCTCTGCTCCTGCAAGCCTGAACTGTCAGAGGGGTCTGGTCTTTGCTGGGCTGGCTGGGAGAGAATGAGAGCCATGTTTGGGGTCTCTGTGAGAGGCCACTGTTGCCAAGAAAGCCACCCGTGAGCTTACAGGCACGGTCCTGCAAGGAGCAGGGAAGTCAGACAGATCTCTGGCTAATTTCTGGTGCTGCCTTTCATGAATAATGTGACTTTGGGCTAGTCTTCAAGTCTGTTTTGTCATCTATGAAATGAGGCTAATTATAACATTTAATAATGGCACTAAGTTACCTACCCCCTGGGCTGCTGAACAGGCTCGTTGAGTGCATTGAATGTGATAATCTCTGTAAAGGTCCTTACTAAATCATGACTTTTGATGATGACCCTATGCTTCCTGAAACACAGACAGCCGCCTCAGACACCCATGGCCCCTCCATTGAGGCATGCAGAAAGGGGTGTTACCCATTTATGGATGGACATGCTGTCAAAGGAGCCCTTTTTGCCATCCTGCTCTCTCCCCACAGCTCACAGGATGCTACACCAGCTAACAACAGGGGCAGGGTCTGTGGTAATGAGTTGACCTAATGAGTGTTTCACTTCCTGGGTGAAAGGTTGATGGATAAAGCAATGGATATTATGAAGGGAAGAGTCAGAAGACGAGTAAGTGAACGGATGGACTGATGGGTAGAAGGATGGATGAATGGGAGGACTTCCTCTCCTATAGTGGGGGTCTTGACACTTCAAACTGTGGGTCCACTCTTGCCCCCATAAGACCCTGGTTTGACAACCTACTGCTTCCTCTCCCTGCACCACTACCATCCTGGGAATTCACACTCCATTCCTTCTTAGGCAGAGTCCCTACGCTGGATTCTATGGCTACATTCAGGCAGAACTGGTGGTGGGGAGGAAGAGAAGAAGGGAAAAGTGATAAGACTAATAATGGGAACAACCTGGCTTAGAATCCTTGACTTTCCATTTATTGGTTGTGTGGTCTCAAGCAAGTTGCAGAAGCAATCCGATCCTTAGTTTCTTAATACATAAAATAATAAAAACCATCTCACAGGAGTTAAATAAGGTGATCTTTGAGACACACTGGGCAGTGTTTGGTACTGAGACACTGATGGGAGAGTGGATGTGAGTCCTGCGTGCCCACGACATATTTCTAGTGGCAACCTAGAAATAGCTGATGAATGAAGTAAGGAATGTTAATTTGCTTTCACTCATGAGCATGGCTAGGGGTAAATAAAATATTTAAGTGTGATTTAGAGATTTTTGACCATTTCAGTTACACAAATGATTGAATAGTCACCCCAGCACAGGCTTGGATTACTTGTGCCATGTATAAAGGTAACTAGACCGAGTTAAGTTACTTGGCTGCCCCTCAGTTTTCCTTCTCATAAAATGTACCAGGTTATACTTAAGTATTGGCTGGGGGCAGAATGAGTAGAGGTCAAAGAGCTGATTGGCTCTTGGTGACAACCTCCCCCCCCAACCCTTTACTGACGAGACTGGAGCGGCAGTGAGCAGAGTCCTGAAAATGGGTTAAAGAAGGAGCAGCTCCGAGACCAAACATTGCTAAATATTTTTTCCTTTTTTGGGTTGGTGCTCTAGATCACCACTTCCTGGAGATTGTATTCTAAACTTTGCTGTGATGGATGTGAGGTCCGCGTGCCCACGAGCTCCAGCGGAACCCAGTGTCACCCTGGGGGAGGAACTCTGCTTTACCTTGCTATTTTAAGCAGCGAGTTTATAGTAAGAAATGAGAGAAAAAGCAAATGAGCAGGAGCAGCGTGGGAATGGAGGGGATGGCCTCTGCAGGCGGGGCTGCTGAAGCTTCCTTTGCAGAGCTGGGGGGTTCCGTCTGGTCAGGGTGGGACCTCAGCCAGCCTCCACTCTGCTTTATTCTGTAGCCGCTGACATCTCATAGTGCTTGTTTGACTTATTTTGTTTCTGTTTTACTTAGCTTTCTGACCCAGGGACTAACTATAGGTCTCTCTTGAGGAATAAGTGGTGGAGGAGAAGAAGTAGAAAATTAAAAAATGATTTGGAATATCATGATCCCCAAAACCTAGGAGACAGGACCATCAAGTCTGTGGTCTTGTGACTAGGAAAAATCCAGGATTTAAGGGACATCTTAGGTTGGAATAGGCCTCTCGAGCGGGTTAGGAATCCTCTGCCTCTCATCTCAGCCTTTTCTTAAATTCTCCCTGGAATGGGAACTCACTCCTTTAGAGTAACTGCCTGTTTTGTCTTCACATGTTCCTACCACTAGAAAGTTTTGCCTTGCCATGATCTGCACTTTCAGTCACTGGCCATACATCTATTCTTCAAGGACGACAGAAATACAAGTATTACTACCAAATGCCTGCGATTTTATTTCCCCATTGTACCTACTTTTCTCAGGCTAAAGGTCTTTAGTTCTTCAAACATAAAGTCTTTCCCCCTGCATCAATTTTAGAACATATCCCAATGTGTGTGATTCTTTAGCAAGCACAATAAATTGTGCACATTAAGGCAGAAAGAAGAAGTAGAACATTCACCTCCTATGTTTTTGAACTATTCTCCTATTGAAACAACCTGTACCTGCATACATATCACACAACATTTCATGGGAGGTGTAACCAGCTTCCCTGATAGAACTGGGGTTTGGGACACTCTGTTGCTATCCTCAACCCCTATTGTTACTACATACTTTGCCCAACTCTACTCATATCACTGTTGCTAAAGTCCAAGTAACTGTGATAGAAATTAACCACAGAGTTCACCTTTGGGCAAACGTGATGCTCATTTTATTCATACAGTCACCATTTGGTATGGAGATGTAGGATGCCTAACCCTATATGCCTGCTCCCAAGAGCCAGGCCGTCTCTGCCTAGTAGGGCTTCTGCCTTCCATTTCACATTTGAATATGCACAGCTCAGCTCAAACACCATTTCTAATGTGAAACCTTCACTAAAATTATGCCCTATCTCAGTCCCATTATCCATAATTACAGACCTTTTTCTGGGATCCCATAGTTTCTTACTTTCAAAGTGTTTACCCCATTACACTGTTTGTTTCCCATCTCTGGGCTATGTTGTCCTCAAGGTCCATGTTTTCATTTGGTTTATGTCACCAGCACCTAGCACAGGGAGAGTAGGTGTACAGTAAGTGTTTGTGAGTGACTCAGTCCATAGATTCTGCTTGAGATGAGATTACTTAAACTGGCCAGCAGGGGTCGCCCCAGCTGTTTCAGAACCGCATGGGAAGATCTTTCCAAAGCAGAGGATGACAAAAGCCAAGATGGTGGAGGTCACTGTGACTAATTCTGTGGCTAAAGTTCTCTAAGCACAGATCAACAAGCACTGCTTGATGCATCTTTTGGGTATCCATTAATGAATTAGACTCTTCATCTGCTTCAGGAGCCCAGTCAGAGATGTGTGTGTTGGGTGGGGTATCTGTCAGAGCTGTGGTTGAGGCCAAATCAGAGTGCCCCACAGCACTCTGGCTCTGGAGCCTTCCTGTGGGGTGGGGAGAATATCTGGTATCATGGGAGGTGGCGGGGCTTTCCTCTCCAGATGGAGACCTGCCATTACTTGTCTTTTTCTAAAAGGCAGCATGCAACTAGACCCTTTGGCTCAGGTCTGTTGGGAGTTCATAGCCCCGAGCCTCTAAACTGGCAAAAAAACAAAAACAAAAACAAAACCATGAAACAGCAGTTACTAGTTACAAAGGACAGAAAATCCAACCCAAACAGATTTAAATACCAAGAGATTTAATTATTTGTGTAACTGGCTAGTTCAAAAAGCATCTAGGCAGCCAGTGGGCTTTGATCAGGGTTCCATGCCAGTCTCTTTACTCTGCCTCCTTCTCTGTGAATGTCAGTTCTTTCCATGGCTTTCCTCATGGAAGCAAAATGGCAGCGGCTACCTCAGGTCTCACATCTGCACACTCCACCACCCAGAGCAACAGAAAACAACTGGGTTTCAGGATATTGCTGTGGATTCACTGTCTTAGGTTGGGTCTGTTGTCCATTTTTGAGCCACGCACTGTGGGGAGAAGGCTGAACTCACGCTGATGAGGGTCAATCCTAGACGGAACCTCAAGGCTGCTACACCATGGGGAGGGGTAAGCCTGGCTCCTGGGGGAAGTGACCTAAGGTTGCATGGGATGGGCACACGAGAGTCACCCTAGCAGAGCTCCAGAATAGTGGCAGAGCTGACAGGCCCAATGAGGGCTGCTCTCCAGGGAGAGAGCCCATATTAAGGGTCAGAAGAGCTGCCAAAGGGGGTGAGGAGAGCCATGGGGCAGGAAGTCAGAGGCACCCTTTATCCTCCTGCCCTGGACAAAGAAGGCTGTGTGGTATAGGGAAAGAGCCTGGGCCTCAAAATCAGGAAGATCTGAATTCAAATGCATTCTTCCTCTCTGAAGCAATTCTATAAAAAGTGAACATAAATTCCTGCATCAGAGGTCGTTGTGAAATTAAATTAGGTGGCAGTGGTAATGCTCTTAGGATAGTGGCTAGCACCCAGTAGGTGCTCAAGAAGTGGGAGAAAAAGACACATCTGATCTCAATGGAGTATTCTCCGTTAGCTATGGCATGGAGGAATTTGAAACAGTTTTCTCCCTCTTTGGATTGCAGTGTTTACTGTAAGGACCAAATTGGAGGCAAAAATCTCTAAGGCCACCTCTGACTTTGTAAACAGAGCTAGTGAGGAGGAGGAAATGCAATTCCAAATGCCTTCTTCCAGCCCCTTTCAACCTCTAGTGTTGATGCAAGCACAAGCAGGCTCTCGCCTGCTTATGGCTCCTGGAAGCAGAAACCCAACTTGGATCAGGGATGGGAGTGGATTTGACTTGTCCTTTTGGCGTCTCCTCAGCCTGCGGAGCCCAGGTCTCTTGAAGCATCTTTCGGGCTGACGCAGCGGAGGTTCCGGGCACGCTCAGCTACTCCTGCCAGGAGGCTGCCATGCCCCACATTCCTGAGGACCAGGAGCCCCCCGGAGAGCCACAGGCTGCCCAGAGCCCTGCCGGCCAAGTAAGTGTCCCCTCCCTGCCTGCAGCTAGACTGATCGGAGCCAAGCCAAGAACTCCGGGCCGAGGCCACCGTGGTCGGCCTGACCAGAGGGTTGGCTCGTAGTCTGTGCAGGCTGCAGTGGGTACCAAGGGAGTTGTCGGCTTCCACAATGAGAAATAAATACTGCAAGTCCATTTGAATTGCTGAAAGCCCTCACATATCTGAGAATGGAACTTCTTAGGCTGCCTGACTGAGGCAACCTGGGAAGTCGATCATCCTAACTAACTCTGTAGACGCCCTCTGTAGAATGGACAAAGCCATCAGCAGAGGGCCTCTCCACATCAAGGCTATAGGCACCAGCACCTACTTATTTAAAGTGAATCCCCTTAAAAAGAAAATCAAAATTCCACAGTGAATAGTGAAAAGGGTTTTCAGCAAAATTGTATTCTGAAGATAAAATTAAGTTAAAAGGTCTTGTGGAGATAGTATTGTACAGATCAGATTACACAAACAAGTCACACTGAGCTGAGTATTACAAAAATACAGACAATATGCTAATTTTTAGAATGGAAAGATTTGTCCAGGTCATTGACTTGGGTGTTGGTATATCTATTTTCTATATTGATAAAACAATCTGTTCACACGATACCACATCCTTCACTTTTTACTTCACAGCATTTCACTAGGATATGCAATTTGTTTAATATTTAAGAGCTTCATTCATTTTCCCAAGGACCTCTTTCAATTCAGTATTCACATCATGGTATCATCCACATAACTTTATCTTCACTTGTTAACCAATCCACTCTATCTGCTTCTTACTGGTCCACAGTCTTGCACATGACGTTCTCCAGCCATGTTTCTTTGACTTCATGCACTTGGCAGTTGGTTGCACTAAACTTGTACCGTCCTGTTCTCTCTGACGGCCATCCAACTGACCTCAGCTAGAAGGGACAGACACTTGTTAAGTGAGAGAGGAATGTAGGAGTGAGCATTCACTTGATAAGTGGAAAGATACTTAGTGAATATTTTCATGTAATGATAATGTTTGTTTCCTTACACACCATAACTGTGGGAACTTAGACTAAATACTTAGAAAAGAATGGCCTCTTATAACTCCATATCCTAAGTTCATGGGGTTGAGATGTTTCAGAACTTGACTGCCTTTGGGAGCTCTTGAATTTCTGAATGACACAGACCAATCCCCCAGGCCTTTGGCTGCACACAGGCTGCCTGCTCATGGTTTTATTAAGTGCCCACCTCACCCACCTCAGTGGATGACAACTGGCCTCCCTCAAACAGAGCTCTGCTGCTGCCTCTTTCCTACAGCTGCTCCTCACCGTGTGTGGAAAGTCCCCCAAAGCATTGCAGTAGGAGACTGCAAGTTTTAACCAACATCTCTAGTGAAAGTGTGGGTTAAAGAAGAAAATGATCACACAGAGCAAAACATTCACACTGGATTCAGAGATGACTGTTCCCAAATATCAGATCACAACTCTCAGATCACAACTCTACCAGGTTAGCATCTATACTCCCTGATCTGGACCTAAGCAATGGCCACCCTGCCCCCTTCCACTTCAGAATAGTGTCAGTATACTTAAGACATATTCTTTTGCAAAATCTAGCTCTGAATCCTGGGCAACTCTTTCAAACAACAACCAAGAATGCAAATATAATAAAGATAATAATAAAAGTTTGGAAATGATACAGTTCCCTCCTTGGTGGAGAGATCCTTACCTTTTTTTTTTTTTGAAAGATTTATTTATGCATACAGAATGGGGGTACAGGCCAGAGGTGCAGGGGCGGTGAGAGCATTCACCAGAGACAGAGTGGGGAGCAGAACAGGCAGATTAACTGAAATACACTGCTGAGGGGAGCAGCAGGCAGGTCAGGAGAGGTCTGCCACGCCATGTGGATCACCTCCGGGGTCAGGGATCAAACTCATGCTGAAGTGGCTTTAGCTTTGTAGTGCTGTGCTTTAACCCACTGCACCAACAGGGAGGGCCCGGAGAGATACTTTTATACTGAATTCAGTTCCTCTTGATTCCAAATCTCTCACATTAAAAGATGACCAGGGACCTTCCTGGTGGCACAGGGGTAACACCAGCCATTGCAGCATAAGTTTGATCCCTGGTCAGGGAGCTGACCCACATGCCACAGCAGACCTCTCCTGTCCTTCCCTCAGCAGTGTATTTCAATACAGCTGCCTGTTCTGTTCCCCACTCTGGTGAATCCTCTCATAACCCACTCCCCCCAAACAAACCTCTAGTCTGTTCTCACATGCATAAATAAATATATCCCTTAAAAAAAAAAAAAGATCTTTCAAAACTTTCCCTCTAGAAATACAAAGCAAGACAACACAAAATTCTGCTGACCCCTGACCATTAAGCCACAGACAGAAACAGCTTCTTGGGATGAGAAGTGAGGGTGAGTTTTTAGGGGTGGCCAAGCATGGAAAGGACTCCATGAGCTCACCACACAGTCAAGATCACAGACACCCAGCTGAACAGAAGGAGCTCCAGATTCCATCCCCACAAGGTCACTCAGGGACCCTGTGACCTTGTGCTGGAACCAGACTTCTCTATCATGGGGAATGGGCCTTGATGGTCTCTGAAGGCCTTTCTAAAATGACATGATTGTATCTCTGTGTTCATGGAAAGGTAAGACAATAATGATACTGCAGTATTAATAGTCGGAGCCCAGCAGGAGAAGGATTCATTATGAATTTAGGTGAGTCAGAACAAGGATACCCAGATTCCATAAGGCTCAATATTTAAGAAAATGCATTCTAGAGTCCAACCAAGTTAGGTTCAAGTCACTATTCCTTCACATCTGGTCAAAACAGCTCGTCTACTCATGTCTGTGCCTCCATTCCTCATTTCTTCCCCAGGGCAAGCCTTAGTGGCTGCCTCCTAGACTATTCTGTCTAATGCTGGAGTGGCTCTATTGGCTTCAGGGGCCCTAGAACTAAGGCAGCTCAGACTTATGACTGAAAGCCACAGGATTTACTTCTACCCACCCTGACACTCACAGGGGCTTCCTGAGTTCTCTAGAAGTCTATGGTGGCATTTTCAAGGATGAGGGTCTCCTTCTATTGTATCTATCTTGGGATTCTCATGCAGTTATAGGTTAGGAAAGGGTCAGGCCTTTGGAACTGAGCTGTAGCTCACATCCTTGGGAGCAGCGGAAGCCAGGCAGCCAGGGAAGTTACATTGGCTAGAAGAGCTTGGCTGTAATTCTCAATACCGTGTGAACTCCCACTCTGTGAAGCAGGCAAAGAACAGAGTATCTTTCTGAGTTTACAACTCCCTCGGGCCCAGCCCAGCTTCTTGCTTCTCAGGCCCCAGCCCCCACTTCCCATCACTGACATGAGGGCTAGCGGAGGCCTCCAGATAAAAAAAACCAAAAAACTCATAGGCCTAGCTTTTGTTTTTCTTTATCCATACACAGGCACATGCAGATTCAGAAACATTCATAGGCACATATAGTTATATGCTCTTAAAATCTCTAATCAGCAACAGCAATCAAACGTCACAAAGAAATTAAGGCTCTAGACAATGCACTCTGTGAGGCTGTGTCCTCGGCATGGTAATTGAGTTGACCCTTGAACCCAGAGGGACTCAAAGGACGATCTTGTAGACAAGGGGGTTTGGTAAGGAAAAAAGATGTCAAGAATCACACCTGGAACCTTAGGGGGCCCCAGAATGACTGCCCAGCAGAACTAGAATGTATTACAGATTATATTTAGTCCTTCCTCTCATATAGGCAAAATTCTGTTCAAAGTGCCTAGCATGATCCCTGAACAGTCACTGGGGACCTTCAGTCAATCTAGCCCTGCTGAACCAAAGTTTCCAGGGTAAAACTGTAGGCCTAGTTCCACCCCGAGAAGCTCCTCACTCACACGCAGTCTGTGCCATGGTTGGGTGCTCTGTTCTTTGTCTTCTTTACTTCCTGGTAAAGTAGGAACTTGCTTCCCTGTGACTCTCCCTCAGTTCTGCCCTCCACTATGGCCTCTAGTGGGGTAAAAACCAGCAGATGCAGGAAAGTGATTTCTGGGTCATCCTAGGCTCTCCTTCCCTCCATTTTGTCCCATCTTGACTCTCATGGCAACTATCAAACTTCTCCAACCACTGTGCTGGGTGTACACCAGCCTTTCTCCTCACCATGGGGCACCAAACCTGGCCCCAGGCCCAGAGGCAGTATGACCAAGGTGTCAATTATCTCCTGGCCTATACCCAGCAGCCATATTAGAAAGCTGACTCATGGGATCAGCATGCATGGCCTTCTCAGTGGTGCCTTACAAACCTGAGGGTACAAAGAGGCTCTCATTAGCCTTAAGAGCCCAGTTTTCACTAGATTTAGCTTGGGAATAACCCCTAAACCAAGGTTTTCTGGAAGCCCCCAAGGGAAAGTCAATGTGAATTCATAAGTTGAACTCATAGCTTTCATATCATTTGCTCCAGCATCCCTCCACCTCCACCCTCTGACCCTCACTCTTCCTATCGCCATTGTCCACAAGCCACATAATAACAGCTAACTACATGCCAGCTATATTCCCATTTAAGCTTCCCATCAACATCATGATAGGTATCACCATCCCCATTTCACAACTGAGAAAATGAGGCACAGAGCAGTATCTTCCTCCAAAGCACATGGCATTTAAGTATCAGGCCCAGGACTTGAACCCAGGCAGCCTGGCCCCACAGCCCATTTTCATCTCTAGCCTGTGCTAAGCATTGTAGGCTCTGCCTCAGGGACCCTCTGAGAGACAGCACTGGCACCTGGGACAGCGAGCATCCCAAAGCCACTTGTCAGAGAGAACAAACTTGCAGAATTCACTGCCACTTGAATTCCAAAGCACCACAGCTGGCGGTGCTGGGTCTCATCAAGTTCCTCCCTCCTGTCATGCTCTCAGATGCATGAGCCCGTGGGATCAGGGAACAAGGTTTCATGTCACACAATCTGCCAAGACACTGTGTGCTTGTGCTCTGTCCTATGTACTCTCCTTCTTCATTCTCCCT